GGGGGATGCTCCAGAGAGGAGGGGGATGCTGCATAGAGGGGGGGGATGCTCCAGAGAGAGGAGGGGGATCCTTCAGAGGAGGGGGATGCTCCAGAGAGGAGGGGGATGCTCCAGAGAGAGCGTAAGGGGAACAGCAGCATGGTGGGATATTGGGGAAAGGGTAAACCTATGTGATGGGCTGGCCGGAGCTTCAGCTAGTGATCTTCAAAGCATCTCACTGGACCCAGTGGTGGTGTGACGGGCACATCTCCATGACGGGGCTGTCATCAGAACAGCAGTCACGACTCCTTATGCAATTTCTCATGGCCAAATGAGAGGCATCACCCATCACCAACGTGCTCAGAGCCCCGAGAAACGGGACGAGCACTTGCTGTCTCGCTCTGCACCCCCCTGGTTCCTCCTGAGCTCCAACACCCCCAGCCCAGCCCGGCGCCTTCCAGCCCAGTGCACTGCGACGGTTCAACGCCCCGCAGGGTCTGCAGAGGGACGGTCCCTGCCCTCCCTGCGCCGCTGCCGGGGGTGGCCTCGCAGTCCTCCATGTGTCCATCACCGTAGTAAGGCAGCGATGGGAAGTTCTGCCACTTGCTGTGCTAGAGAGCATCTGCCACAGGTTCCCAGGAGCAACATCGGGGAGCAACCGGCCGGGCTCTGCAGCTTACTGGAAGCGCTGGCGGTGGCGACGCCTCACACGCATGCTTCAGTGCAACCGTGGCCATTTATCCCAAAAGGAAGGAGCGTAAGCACATGTAAAGCAAGCGCTGCTTGAAACGTTTCCTGGCTGTTAGCCCACGCCATCGGTGTCCAGTGAAGCTCTCTGAGAACCAAAGCCCAACCTTACAACATTTCCTTCATTCCTCCCTGCGAAGCGAAGCGGTTCGAGGCGGGGTGAACGAAGCTGCAGGCGACGCCGGTAAGGCAGGGGCGGGAAGGTGAAGCTGCGCAGGGGGCTCGCTGGCAATGGCGGGGGGGCTGCGGCTCAGCCCACGGGGGCGGTGAAGCTGATCGGGA